TTTTTAACCCCCTCCCCCCCCCCCCCCCCCCCCCCTCCCATTTTCATTTTCTTGGTCGATTTTTATTGAAAATGTTGCATGTTAACAGATAGAAGCGACTGTCATGCCCGATGAGTACAGATATAAGAAGGTAAATCCGTGTAGCCCTTCTTAATTGTTATGTTTAGCATGCAGTTTTCGATCATTCTGGACTAAACTATACAATATTTAATATTTTATTATTATTATTATTATTATTATTATTATTATTATTATTATTCATGCAGTTTTCGATCATTCTGGACTAAACTATACAATATTTTATATTTTATTATTATTATTATTTTATTTTACTGTCTAATCTAACTTACCAAGAATGTCACTCACAATGCACAGAACTTCATCTGATATGGTTAAATTTTGCAGGTTTGGATTCTGTGTAATGATTGCAATGACACAACTGAGGTTTACTTCCATGTAATTGGTCAGAAATGCTGCCATTGTGAATCGTACAATACTCGGACAATTGCACCTCCAGTTCCTCCTCAATAAACATCATTTTTACTCGCTCAAAGCCTGATTTGAAGCTGAAACAAGGGGGACCTTTTATTTTTATCAGTTTCCTTAATTTCCGACTTAAAAGACTGATGTCGACAGAAACTGTTACTTCTTTATTGTTTTGCTCTCATTTTGTGTGAGTGGCACCCATCGAACTACAGTTTATAATGAATTTGTGGCTTTTCTGAAGGCAATTCTTTCTCCAAAAAATGTGGAGAAAAATTCAGCTAATTGAAAATTAAATTGTTATCCACTATACACATAACAAATAAATAGCATTCCAGTGACCAACACCTTTGGTCGCTAATAGATAAATAATGGTCGCCGTCGGCCTTCACTGACCAAGAAATGGTGGTCGCTGGTTGGTTGTTAATTCACCGTCACAAAAGGTCTTCAGTGACCAACTCAGTATTGGTCGATGAATATAGATACAATCGGCGACCACTCTTTGGTTTTGGTTTGGTCACTACATCCATAACATTTAGGGCCCAAATATTTGTTGGTACATGTTAACCATTAGCGACCAAATAGATTGTATGAATACACTGTAAGTTTAGCGATTATATTACCTTTCATGGACCAATCTTCAGTTGGTGAACATTGATACCTTTCATGGATCAATCTTCGGTTGGTAACATTGAAACCTTTCATGGACCAATCCGTGGTTGCCGAACGTACTCTTCTTTGACAACCAAGTGTTAGTAATCACCGACTAAAATCTTGATAGGTAAACAAAAAAACTCTTCTCTAAAATCAACCAAAATTTGGTTGCAAAAAGACGTATACTTCACTATCTGGTTGCTAAATGTTGTATGTGTTAGTAAAATACTTTTAGCAACCAATATTTTTTGTCCAATGATTCAAATAGACTTCCAGCAACCATAAAATTAAAATTAAAAATATCAAAAATAAGAAAATTAATTATAAACATGCCTCTATAAAAGTAAAGTTGTCTGCACCTAACGTGTACTAATAGTCGATATACAACCCTAAATATTTAATATAACCAAAAAAAAGTTTTCATAATTTGCATGTAATTTGAATAATATAATCATAGTACTACAGCACTAACTAATGGTGGAGATGGAGGCAGATCATTGGTCGGTCCTATAGGAGGATGTTGACTCATATCTATTCGTGCAACAAGGCTCTGGATAACTAACGCTTGCTGTTCGAGGCGATGTGCAAACTCACTAATAACGTTATCCTTCTCGAAAACTAGTATTTAAAGTTTTGACAAGGTGAACCGACTTTTTCTCTAATTTGCCTCTTCTAATAGCTATGACAACAGAAATAATTGAACAATATTTCAAACAAATAGAATCATCTTTTGGCAAGATAACTTCATTCTAGAAAACAGGAGAAAAGGAGGCAACAGTTAAAGATGAAATAAGGCATGTTAACCTTTCTGTAGTAGTAATTTCCACACCTTAAAACTAGGAACCACATATCATGGTGAAACCAAAATCAAAGTATGTTAATCCTCCAGTTTCATGTAAATTCACTCACCAAATTAGAAAATTCACCCTTATCCTTTTAATCTATGGTCGTATGGACGTACATTCACATTCAATTGGGAAAACATTTACAAGAAGAGGGCAAAAATCAACAGTGTTCAGTAACAGAACACAGTACCTTAATATAATTACCAGATATTATTCTAAAACCAAACTCAAAATACGTTAATCCTCCAGTTTCAAAATAATCAAAATAAAGAAATAATTCACTGGCAATAAGCAGAATAAATATGGTGAGAACCGCAATAAATTCCAGCAAGAATAATTCAGAGTAACAGAATCTAGTAAAGACAAAGACGGCAATTCATCAAGAAATGCAGTTGGAGCTAACTACTGGAAGTTATTGGAAGCTAGTTATCTGTTAGAATAGTTTGTTAACCCACGTGTCATTTGTATTGAAGTTAGTTACAGTGAGTTTGTTTGTTCTATCTCGTCTTCTATCTATACCCAATCGTACAGATACAAGAACGGTGAATAATACAATTGATTTCATTCTTCTTCATTCCTTTCTTCAATATGGTATTAGAGCAATAATTGCTTCCATTGTTTGTGCATTCGAAATTCAATTGTGTTCTTCCCTAATCAATTTGTAGTTGAGTTGATATGGCGTTAGCTACTAATCAAATTAATTCATCATCATCAACAAGCAATTCCACCGCAGTTGATGATGTCTCCAGTCCATATTATCTCCATCATTCTGATAATCTGGGACTTGTGCTTGTGTCACAACTTCTTACTGGTGATAACTATGCTTCATGGAGTTGAGCCATGATGATTGCTCTCTCTGTGAAGAATAAACTCGGCTTGATTGATGGGTCAATAGCCAAACCTGATAACAATGACGATCAGATTAGCAATTGGATTTGAAACAACAATATAGTCATCTCGTGGATACTGAATTCAGTGTCGAAAGAGATCTCTGCAAGTGTGATTTATTCTAAATCTGCCCACGATATATGGATCGATTTGAAGGAAAGGTTTCAACAGAGGAATGGGCCTCGCATATTCCAACTAAGGCGTGAGTTGATGAACCTCACTCAGGTGCAATTATCTGTTGGTGTGTTTTTCACTAAATTGAAAACAATTTGGGAGGAATTAAGCAACTATAGACCAATATGTTCTTGTGGAAAGTGTTCTTGCGATGGAAATAAGAAGCTCTCAGAACATTATCAGATGGAGTATGTCATGAGTTTCTTGATGGGGTTGAATGATACATTTGCACAAGTTAAGGGTCAGCTACTGTTTATGGACCCAATGACTTCCATTAACAAGATATTTTCCCTTGTATCTCAAGAAAAGCACCAGCGCAATATAAGTATCAATGCTGGTATCTCGAACACTGGAGACTCAATTGCTTTCTATGCTAAAATTGATCCAAAGAAAGGCAGCTCAGGATAACACAAGTTTCAGAAGAAAGAAAGGTCAATTTGCACTTATTGCAACCTTGCAGGGCATTCGGTGAATAAATGCTATAAATTGCATGGGTATCTTCCTGGGTATAAGATGAAGCAGAGATCCAACTTCACTGATCAATTGGACAATCAGCCATGACATATTGCTGCTAACAAAGTGATGTCTGAGAACAATTCAGAACAAGCACACATAAATGCTTTGACTAGTTTGAACCAAATTACATCGTTTTAGGCTCTGAAAGTGCTTTTTTCATGTTCTGGATAATTTTTTTATTTTCAACTTTTAATTCCATTTATGTAGGATTAATTATGAAAATGCAGGAGTCCATTTTTTGTAGGTTGTAAAATGTCATTTTTGTTGTATTGTGATTTGGTCAATTTTTGTTAATAATGTAATTTGGTCAAGTGGAGGGGTCAGGTTGGGTTGTGTCACAGTATCATGCAACCATTACTATTTGTCTAGAAAATGCCAAAACCAATTGAAAAAAAGGGGTTTTTATTGCATCAACTATTATTGTGACCAATGTATGAGTGGTTACGGAAGATTATGTGCAACGAACATTTCGTGGTCGCTTGGAGTGGCATAGTATTCAGCAACCATCCCTATTGGTCACTGAAAAATGCCTAAACCAATTGTCAAAAAGCAGGATTTTATTGTGCCATCTGTTATAGCGACTAAGATATAAGTGGTTGCAGAGGACTAAATATAACGACCATTCCGTGGTCACTAGTGTAGTGTAGTATCCAGAAACCATCACTATTGGACACAAAAAATGCCAAAACCAATTGAAAAAAGGGGATTTTATTGCACCAACTATTATAGATACCAATGTACGAGTGGTTGTAAAAAACTAGGTGCAGCGACCATTTCGTGGTCGCTTAGGTGGCATAGTATCCAACAATGATCATTATTGATCACTAAAAAATGCAAAAATCAATTGAAAAAAATGTGATTTTATTGAGAAAACTGTTATATCAACCAAGATATGCGTGGTAGCAAAAGACTATGTTCTCTTCTGCAACCATTCCGTGATCGCTAAAGTGACATAGTATCCAGCAACCATCAATATTGATCGCTAGAAAATGCCAAAACCAATTGAAAAAAAAAAAAAAAAAAGCAAGATTTTATTTCACCAATTATTATAGCGATCAAGGTATGCGTGATTGCAGAAGACTAGGTGCAGCGATCATTCCGTGGTCGCTAGGGTGGTGCAGTATCTAGCAATCATCACTATTGGTCGCTAGAAAATGCCAAAACCAATTAAAAAAAAAAAAAAAAGAGAGCGGGATTTTATTGAGCCAACTGCTATAGCGACCAAGGTATGCGTTGTTGTAGAAGACTATGTTCGGGCGACCACCATAGTGGTTTTCCTATGCAGGAAAATTTTGGCTCTTTTTCCTACACTATCTTTACCGACCAACCAAATGTATGGTCCTTGATTCTCTGAATGTGTGACCAAGGATTGGTCTCAATAGAGCATAACAAAATTAGTCCAATTTTACTGGATTAAAACCAATAGCTATTGCTAATCATGTTTTATAGCAACCAAGACCTATTGGTCGTTAAACCTTTGGTCGGTGGAGCCCTTTTTTTTATTTTTTTATTTTTGTAGTGACATATATATTGTCTTGTCAATGCAAGGGATGAACTCACTTTCTCATTGCAATGTTATTGATAAAAGATGTGTTTGGCCTTTTTTTTTTTTAAACGATTATGTACACCTCAGACAATACTCTATAAGATAACCGATTGAATTTTGACTTTTTTTGTTAGTCTTTTCCGGTGTTGTCGAGTCTACAATATCAAACTTGCCCATTCCCGAAAACATGGGCTCAATTTTAATCAGTTTTTTAGTTACTTGATTTTTGTATTGATTTTACTTAATTTTTTATTGGTTGAATCACTTTATCACTAATTCATCTAGACGGTAACAAATCAACAGGTAAATTATAATTTAAACCACGTAGTAAAATCTTGCAATTGTGTAAAGGGTAGATATACATTTTTATTATTGTTGCGTTCTTTAATTGAACTCCTAGATGATTTAATGCATTTAATTGAGGCTTATTCAAATTCATTCAGAGATAAAGTGTGAGTTGACTCAACTAAATATGATTGATTTGAACTCGACAGACGTAAATTAATATAATTAGTGAATTCGTGAAATGATTCAAAAAAATCGTCGTTTTGTGGTACTTTTATGCTTTTCACATATTTTTCCACACCTCGAGATATCTAATGCCAAATTGTGTTTTCACACGTGTACTTATTGAAGTCTCCAATGTGAAGTTTCATAAGACAAGCAGGTTTGGTTTGGTTAATGAAACAAAGTTATATTGCAAGGATTTGATACATAATAATTTAACTCATTAAACATGGTACATTTTTACACTGGCAAAGTCAAAAGTACATAGTAATTCATTTTTCACTGATGTTTCTTGTGGAGGTTCAAAGTCGCAAGCAAAACCATCAAGAAAAACGACATTGAACCAACAAAGGAGATGCCAACTGCAACGGCTGCTTGGTCGCAGAATTTATCGAACACATTACACACTTTCTTCCACTGCACGTGTGAATTCCCTTGAAACCCGACAAGACCAACGGCGAAGGCCGCACCGACACTCGAAAAGAGAAGCGCCACCATTACTAGGTCAAAGATGGTTATGATCATTCCCAAACCTTTCTTTCCTGCCCTATTTGCCATTGTGAGGAGCAGTGAGATGGCTGCATAGGCACATGCTATTGCATTTGCCGCCACAAAGTACCTGAACCAAAAATCACAGTGCAATAAAGTAAAAGTGTTAGTTAAACTTTAAAACTTGTCCCTTGAGGTTGCACAATGAGAGAATTTTGAAAGACAACGTTATTTGCAGTCAATCATTACCGCAATCGTCATATATGACTTACATGCGACGATTAGTAATTTGTTGCATATTTGAAATATCACAAAAATTAAATTATACGTTTACTTCTTCTAGGAGGACCCAGTTATTACTGGAATCCTGGGACCAGGCCAACCTAAAATTGGGTGGACAGGCCCACCCACAGACAACCCAGTTTAATGGACGTTAGATATGCAAATTTCGGGGGTCATTAATTAGAAGTAGATTTCGAATTATATTATTAATGGTTAGATGAATTTGGAGTTTTATGTCTGTTCTTGGTGATAGAGTTACACGTATTAATAATTTGCAAATTATTTTCAAATATAATTTTTTTAAAATTATAAAAAAAAAAAAAAAAAAAAAAAATTTAAAATTAAAATAGTAAGTAACTCTCACCTAAAACAAAACATGCTCTTAAAGGAATAGAATAGATTATACTCACACAAACGCAGACAAGTAATGCAACTTCGCCGTGACATCAACACCTAACGGGGGCAGTGTAGGCACCATCAATACCGGCACCACCGTCGACTGCTTATTGACCCCAAGAAGCACGGCTGCAGCCAGCGTAAGGGCCAGAGCCAAAAACCGTAAAACCAAGTCGGAAAAACTCATTGCTCTCTTGTTAGCCACCGCCACAACTTGTTTCTCACCACCATTAAAGCCATCCTCCATTCCTCTTTCCCCATTACTAGGCATGTATGCAGCCTCCATCTCCATTTTCTTAGTGTTTCTTTTTCTAAAGAAAGTAGAAACTTGCAAAGGATGGTGCAAAATGAGGTTGATTCTAGGGACTTATATAAGGGTAGAAAAATAAGAATTTTATTTTATATAATATATATTTTAGTTGAAGTGTGAAAGGAGGATCTGAAATTAATGCATGGGGCGGGATTGGAAGTTTTGGTGTGTAATTACAGGTGGCTTTCACATTTGTGGTTGCCGGGATGAAGATTTGATTTCTTTCTAAGATCATAGCTTGATAGATATACATATATTTGTTTGACCCTTCATTTGAAAAAAATCGTAGTCAGATCACATTGTTCACGGTTGAACGAGTCAATCGATAAGTTTTTATTTTTCCTTATATGATCAATATCTATTTTTCTATAGTTCTTGATTTTTCTGATTGAATCGAACGATCTAACTTATTCTTTAAAATGAATGATGGAATATAGTGTTCAAAAATAAGGTCTTGGGGGTAGGGGATAGACTTCTATGTAAACATCTTCGGGCAACTACTTGATTGGGAATTTGGGATACATATATTTGACTCCCCACTTGTTTCTTATGTCTCAACAAATAATTTAAGAGATTAAAAAAATTAATCCTGAAAAGAACCGTTTTTAGTTTTTGGGCAAATTTTCAAGGAGGATCTGTTGGAAAAATAATTAGTTGCAGTAACGTGCAGAACAGTAAAGTGCATAAATAAAACTTATCAACTGATGAAGTCTCGTTACAACATGATATCCTAAAGTGGAATTGCCAGTTGATAACTGTTGCGACCTCCGTGAAAAATCACTCCCAGGATACAACGATCATAAATCACTTGTGCAGTTGGGCCCTAAGGGGTACAAATAGTTTTTGAAAGGGGGAAGACCTATATCCTATTGGGTTCGGTCATAAACCCACACGCGCGCCGTCGATCGGCCGGCTCGGCACGGCACGTGCCCGAGTCCAGTGCGGTGTGGGTACGGGTGGACCTTTACACTATTTTAACTTTTTGGACAAAATTTTGGGCCAAATTGTAAATAATCAAATTCTTGGGTACAATATGAAATTTAAATTTTGGCTTATTCCGGGTGTTTTATTTTCTTTTAACAGTCGATTGTTTACCGACCAAACAATTGACTGTTAACCAGTCTCGTTACAACATGATATCCTAAAGTGGAATTGCCAGTTGATAACTGTTGCGACCTCCGTGAAAAATCACTCCCAGGATACAACGATCATAAATCACTTGTGCAGTAATCACGAATGGTTTCTCAGAACTCTCAAGTGTAATTCAAAATATATGTAAAAACTCGAGTATAAAAAAATTTAGAATATGAGAAATTAAGATTTCGTTTTTGATGATTTTGTTTTCCTTTGATGTGTGTTTTTGGCAAAAAGAGACGTAAGTTTATATAAACGACTGTTTTTTCTATGATCCAGAAAAATATGCAAAATTTAATAACTTTGTAGGTAGTGGGTTGTTAAAAAACGATCATATTGTACTAGCTAGTGAGACCCATTATATAACTTCGAAAATAATTAAAATAACATAATAATAATAATTTTAATTAAGGAATGTGACCCAAACCCCCGATATCCCACACAAATTCCACACTTTCCACCACTTGGACACTCCATCTAAATTAGTTATTTCTTTCAGATGCCTTTAGCACCATTGAAGACAGCAAATTCGTTTTAAGGAAACATCGTGAAATCGGTGGGTTCGAATTACTGTTTAGACCCTGTTGATCAAATTCTTACATTTAGGTGATTCTGTCGAATTGTTTTTGAATGAGTAACTTCAAACTCCAGAAACAACAGTATTTTACAAATAAATAATGGTAATAACTAAAATGTAATTATCGATCGTGAGGTTTTATTTTAAGTTACAAATATGTCATTGTAAAAGAGTGCACGAAATTCAGATCACGAGGTAATGGAAGTGGAAATGGGTAAGATTTAGAAAAACAAGAGAATGTGAATAGATTCAGTTTGAAGCATACATTTTGTCAAAGAACTTTGGATCCCAAAATTTGTTCATACTAATTTATTGACGAAAGACACTTCCCAATTGGACTATTACATAAATTCACATATCTCTAGTGTCATGTTACTATCCCTAACTTGCTGTCACTTTGGTCACTAGGTTAATATATTTTATTTTATCAAGCATTAAATATTCAGTTACAAAGATAATATATATTTTTAAGTGGGATTTTTTGTTTGCAGGAATGTGAACACAGTTGGCTTAAAATAAAGAGAGGGAAAGGAAGGAGTAATTAAAGTTTATTTTGAAGATAAATGGGATAAACTACTCTATTTTGTCAATTATCCATATCATGTTATTCTCATTGTGCATATCCGTCTCCATCCTTTTTAGGCGCAAGAGCCAAAAACTTGGAATTCAAGTTGGAAAATCTCATTGTTCTCTTTTTAGCCACCTCCACTACTTGTTTCTCGCTGTCCTCTGCTCCTCCTATTCCAGTAAACATGTATGCATCGTTGCATAATCCTCGTAAAAACATATTTTGTTTAGAATTTTAATTTTTAAAGCACCTACCCAGTTTGAAGAATGAAATTCTAATTTCATAAGTTAGACATATGAGGTCCGCATGAAAAATTAATGGAGAGTTAGACAAATTCGTTATTAGGGACTAACTGTGCAATAAAAATGAGTTAATAATTAACTTGCTGAATTTTAAAGATTGAAGTTTGAACAGTTAAAAGTTGATAACTTAATATTACTTATTTGATATTATGTTTATCAATGCGAATAAGTGGTTAAACTGCAATAAACCCACCTAATTATAAATATATTACTATAGATCTTTCAATAACATGTTTGCCTTCACTTAAAAGCATATTCTTTCTGACTTTTTTACACACGGGTACACAAGGATGTGAGTAGATTTAGTTCGAAGCACATTTTGATCCTTAAATTTGTTCATAGTAATTTATTGCCAAGAGACACTTCCCAATTGGACTATTGCATAATTTCATGTCACCATCCCAAACAAGCTGCGACCTTAATGGTCACTATGTTAGTATATTATTTTTTTCAAGCATTAAATATAGAGTTTCGAGTATGAAATTATCTTTTTTGACGTGGGATTTTTGTTTGCAGAAATGTGGACAAGGTTTGAGTCTTGGTTCTAGTATTTATTATATCTTCATACAATCAAGTTTACTACCATGAAGTTCTGTTAGTAGTAAATAAAAATTGTTCATTCTTTTCATAAAATAAATTTCGCAAGTGTACGGGGTCATTAACAAAGTAATGATGTGATGAGAGGATTTTCATCCCACAAGGAATAAATCTTAAATGAAGTATACTAATCTTGTATCAAATTCGAATTGTGTAACACAAAAGAGATTATTTTTATTTAGTCTAAGTTATTCTACCAATTATTTAAATGTATAGGTTTGAATTAATGTGCGAGATGATTGCATTGTCTTATGAATCTACCTATTGATTTTCTATTTCCAATTCTCAATTTCCACAACTTAGTGTAATTTATGTGTTGATAACAATCGATAATCCATTATTATGTGGCTATCTATTTTGAGATAAGTTCCACATATTCTAAGTGCGATCCTGTCATAATCCTATTTCGAATTTATATGCAAAGTAATGTATTAAGCATATGATTATCTAATTAATTGCACTCGCTATACATGCTATTTCTAACATCTATTATATGTGTGCTAACCTTGCAGTGTTCTAAATTTATTGTGAATCTTACAACACTACAACAAACTACTAATAATCCAATTGGTGATCAAATAATCAAATAACGAAATATTTATGCAAGATTAATTAAAAATAGTTAATCAATGGTTTCATTTCCATTCAATATAGGGTAGAGTTTAACCTAGCACGCTTTTATATAAATTACACAAAAATATTTGAAAAAAATTCAGGAAGCTTGATAGAAAATCAATCTCTTATTCTTGATCTTGAATCTTGTGCTTTGAATCTTCAATCAGTGATGTGTTCACCTTCGATCCGTTGCTAGGTGTGTTCTCTATGGTAGAATATGATATGGCGTATTCCTTGCCTCAAGAATTAGGTTAAATAGATTCAAACAGTTGGAATCAGAAAAGAAAACTAGCCAGTCTATCAAAATTTGACCTATGCGTGCGCATGGGTTTTCCCCTTGCCCACTCATGGCTCAACTATTTTAACCTCGAGTCCTATGGAAACAAGCCATTTTTACTCCCTTGCTCACGCATGGCAGAAGTGAGTTTGCTAAACTTTCTCCACGGCATGAACCAGTTATTTCTTCGTGCAATTTCAATCCATAGTCTTCCTTTCACGTCCAATTGATTCCCCCCACATTCTTCAATCATCGATGTGCTCCGAATTCCACGAACTTTAGAATTTCTCATTTTCCACTCAAATTTCATTCATTTTCATCAATTACATCTCTTAGCATCGAGTTTCACCTAACAAAGAAAAATAACACAAAACTAAGCTATAATTCATTAAAACCAATACAAATTATTCTTATTGAGCCCCTATTTGATGTCATTATTTGAGAAAAACAATGTTTTGAATTGTAATTTTTATAAGAATGTGTGGTTAAAAATGAAAAATAAATAAATTGAATTTACGTGCAAAATATTATATTGTGTAAATGTATAATAAAAAATGAGTATGTGAAAAAAGAGTTTTCAAATAATAGTTATTAAATAGGTGCTAAATGACCTAGATAAGTGTACAAAATAAATTTATCATATATCTTATTTGACATCAAATAGTTTAGCTAGTTTGCAAGGAAATTGAAACAAAAAATTCGGTACGAAATTATACGTGAAATTGCTCTTGGAAAAATAAAAAATTACTAGAAAATCAATTTTTTAGTTTAGAAAAAGTTCTCTAAAGTTTTCAAAAAAAATTAATTTATAAAATAGAAAAGTTGAAAGTTCAGAACTTTTCAAACTCGAGGAGCTAGCTCTGAGGTCTCGTTTGATACTTATTTTCGTAAGAATGAGAATGAAAAATATAATCGTTACGGGATCCACGTAAAAGATAGAAAGTCAAATATGGTGGTTTGATGTGATGGATAACGATCATATTCATTTTTGTGGCCAAGGAATAGAAATCAAACGGGGTCTGAATCTATCTTCGTTGCGGAGAAATTCAACGAAGAGTAAAGGGACGGGAAATAAAATTCATCCAAGGTAAAGTGGGAGAGATGATCTTCGATAGTATGTCGCTTTAGTTAGTGAAGAAAAAATACTGAATGGGTCTATCGGTTTACCTTTACATATCTCTATTGAAGAAGGTTTGACGAATCCTAATATTTTTCCTGATCAAATAGAATTCTGCCAGGGCATTCGTAAGGGAGAAGGGTCTACATCTCCATTGGGCCAAATTCTGACTAAGTAGGCCTACACTAAACTGGGCCTACTTCCAAAATTTTCGAGCACTTGCCTGCAAAAAATTATTGATCTTCCGTGGGATTTAACGCTAGCGGTTTGTTTTGATTCAACGATTTTCATTGGCACCAATGGTAAGAAATGAATTGAGTGATTTTTGATTTGGGGTTGATTTTGTGTTTGTGTGGGGGTGCGTGGGGTGGAGCGAATGAGCATGGGTGAAGAAGATGATATTCACTTTTTTTTAATTTTTTATTCAATTATCCTTTTATTTAATTATTTTAATAGATATTTACCATTCTGCCTCCTTTCTAATTGATTAAAATATGGTCAAACTTAACTTTTGGGTTAACTAACAGAGAAATGGATGAAAACCGTCCAAAAAAACCTTACGTGCAACGTTTGAAAATGTTAGAGGTAACGATTGTAATAAATCAAAGATTTTGAAAAAGTCTATTAGTGTTTCAAAAGTTTGGGATTTTTGCTGCTATTATCCCTTAATTTTAAGAAGGGAAAATTACTCCATACCGTATTCTTACTTCTTTTTTTTTTTTAATTCTACAAATACTTAACTTTTTTTTAACACACACTATAAATTGGTCCCTTCTCAACATTTCTTTGTGAGAATACTGTAGTTTGAAGCCATAATCCACGTTAAGTATTTCTTCAATGAGAAGTAGCCAAAGGTTGAACGAACTTGATTGATTGCTGAATGGATTGGTTTTGGATTCCATTTTTAACCATATAAGTTCTAACATGAATCGATAACTAACTTAACAAATCTGTAATCAACAATTTGTTCCGGAAATAGTCTCTATATTAGATATGATCTAAACTTTTACTTTTCCGAATCAATAATCAACAATTGGTTTCAGAAATAGTCAACGTGTCTCTAATAATTTAATTTTTAATTGAATTATGCTTAACATGGTATCAAAATCAGTCAAAATAATTATTCGAATCTTATAATTATTTATTTATAAAAATTGTGCCCTCATCAGTTATCTTGCAAATCCATGAAAGGCAAGTCAAGAACATTTTAAAATAGATAATGCCAAAACCATGAGATGGATTAGGGGTGGGCATTTTAACCAGAATTGAATCTTCTGAACCGAAACCGAATCGAAACAAAAGATTCCCGCTCGGTTCTTAAAAGAAATAAATAGGATCCGAAACCGAAAATCGAAAATCTAGTGGTCTAGATCGGTTCTTGGTTCTTGAATTGAAACCGTGGGTAACCAGATGGAACCGTAATTACTAGATTGCGTAAAAAAAATACAAAATTTAATATTTAAAACTTAAACACTAAATAGGTTGCACATTTCAGCTCAAAGAAAATATCTGTTTCAAAGCTTTTGGCCCATTTTAGTTACCTAAATCCAAATACATATATCTTGTCCAAAAGCAATTTAGGCATAGCCTAACACCAAACCTGTAAAGATAATAACACATTTTCCTTCTTTCAATCACTAAAATCCCCTGCCATCCTTCTTTCCCAGTTCCGTCTTTGCGTTTCCTTCTCGTGAATATTAATCTTGTTATAATAACTTCGTCTCTTGCATCGACACCACAGGTAACTTTTATAACTCATGCAATACATACTTATTCTTCCATATTATGTTATCTTCAAGTCTTTATTTGAATTTTTCTTGGGTATTGATACGATTACTTCAAAAAACTCGATTCTTTTGGGTCATCATTTTTTCTTGGCTCTTTTAATGCTCCGTTTATTGCTGGTCCTATACTCCTATTAAAATACTTTTAAATTCTGACTAGTTTTTAATACTCTTTTAAGGATGGTCCTATTAATTTATTGTGTAACTTCTAATCCGTTAAGGCTCTGTTTATGTCTTGGATAATTAGTCCATTATGTCAGCTACTAAATCTATGAAATGATGGATAGTTTGTGAAAAAATTGTCTAATTGTGTGGTTTGATTTACTAAAACCCCGTTTAAGCCCCATTATTTGACATTATTTGATGCTATAATTTTTGGAATAGTATATATATATATATTTATTATTTTTTTTTTTTTTGGAGAATGTGTGGTTGAAAAGGAAGATTTTTTTTTTTTTATTTATGTGTAATATTATTTTATTTGAGAATGTATAGTTAAAAAGAAGAGAGAGAAAAGTGTATTATAAATTTAATGTAGCTCAAACAGGGCTTAAATGTGTATTTAAAAACTATGGGTAGAACCGAAACCCAAACCGGAACTAAAGGTTCAGGTTCGGGTTCGGGTTTGGGTTTGGGTTTGGGTTTGGGTCCAATAATTATGTGGAACCGTATGTATCTATTTATGAAATACCCGAAAAATAATGGATGGTTCTAGATATTGAAATACTCGGACGGACCCATCCAACGCCCACCCCTAAGATGGATGGTGTACAAATCGTGATTGCCGATGGCTAACTTTCATTTTCCATATAATGTTCAACTTGCTTTTAAAAGACAAAAAAGGATACGAAACCCATGCAAAGCAAAAAAATCCATGAAAGTAGTGGGGTTAAAAGGGTAATTTACAATTTGAGTATAGATTTTCCGTCAACTAGTAGACTTTCGAACCTAGAAAATTTATTGAATAAGAAGTCTTTCATCATTACGTGTTTAATTAGGATTACACATTCTTAGTTGAATATTGAATTTCTTAGTTTTCACGTCAATCTTTGCATTGATTTTGCTGATAATTGGTTCAAAGAAACAAAAATGAAATTCGATACTCAAAAAGATAATTGTCGAAAACAAAAAAATCTAGGCAAAGAATATCGATCCTCGATCCTTTTATGTTGTTGTTTTCGAGCCACTCATACCAATCTCTCCTTTCACCGTAACCCGATAATATCAGAGTTCTTAACAGATGTGAAATGATAGAAAGAGAAGGCTTCCAACAAAGACTTATTTGATTCCATTCAAAATTAAATTCAACACAAATTAAAAGTTTTGAAGATAAGTGTTTGTTTAGATGAGATTATATGAAGTGAAAAATGAATTTTTCAGAGTAAGAAAAAATTATGAGTTTACGTACAAATTATTTTATTAGACGAACGTATAATTGAAAACAAGTTTGATAAAGAATGATTTTCAAATAAGTTACGTCAAATCAACGCTTAATACAAAATGACAAAGCTAACAACCAATTTTTTTTATTTGACGTTAGTTAAACAAAATAACTTAAAAAATACAGGAATTAATAAAAATACGTCTTTTCCATCATTACAGTTGTGAACTCTCGAGGAAATCGACCAGGTTCCTTAATAGAAAACAACTCTTTATTAAGGGAATTGATTTTTGGTTTGGCAGATATAAACCAATCATGCTGGTCCACGTGACAATTCATATTCTTGAATTCAGACCGCAAATAATGGGCCCAATGAATGTAACACGATTGTTTTTTAATTTAATTTATTTTATTTTTTGTAAAAGGTTTGGAGTGTCAATTACACTTCGTGAAGGTTGTTAATTTAGGTGGTGATGCTTCCTAACTAACACGCAATATACTTCTCTCATTTAAAAAAAAAAAAAAAAATTCTATTTAATTTTAATTGAAAATAAAAAAATACGACACTTTTACATGTATATACAATATATTTATTAATGTGTGTGTATATATATATATATATATATATATATATATATACTTTTAGTCGAGCCTGTTAAGGATAAGGAAAAGAAAATTAAGAAATAAAGGACAGTAATGTTTCTTTCCATGAACTTGACATTCATTTAATTATCACAGCTGTTATAATCAATAATTGAATAGAATAAAATTACTTGGCGTGCTGGAAATACTAAGCAAATTAAGTAAGTAGCCTCACCCAAACACATCCAAACATTCTGTTTATATATATATCAATTCCTAGCCACTATTCTCAGATTAAAAGATTCCACACACTATTACTGTTCAACCAAATTTCCATGGCCTCCAAAGATACACTAGTTCTAGAAGCTGAAACGGTGGTGGTGCCGCCACACGAAGCCATGGCTGCAGAACATAAAAAGGTGGAGTATCCACCGGAGGTGAAAACTCCGGCGGCTTCTCCATCTACTGATTGCTTTGCTTTGGCTGACGTGGTGTTGAGGTTTTTACTGTTTGCTTCAGCATTAGTGGCTGTTGTGGTTATGGTCACCAGTAAGCAAACAGAAAAATTTCCTATTTTACCATTTCCTCCATTTCTGGTTGCTCTTCCTGCTAAGTTCACCCATTCGCCAGCCTTCATGTAAGTTTTATGTGTTTTTTTATTACTTGTGAAATTGTCTAACTCTTTAGGCTTTGAGACGAGCTAGTTTTACTTGATCTACATGACTCTGGGGTTCAAGTTTCATCGTCACTTATATACAAAAAATTGCACATACTTGGATGTAAGAGATGTGAAAATATGTTAGAAATTTAAATGAAGAAATTCGTCTCTCTCTAATAATTTAATCTTTTAAATAAGATAGTTTAAGTGAGCGAAAATTCCATTTGTCTTTTGCTAGTGTGTAAATTTATAACTAGAAATATTATAATATTTTGCTGACAAAGTTTCATTTCTTAACCCTGAGGGACAGCTTAGTGTTCAGGCCTTGGGTTTGCTCCCTGATGGTCACTAGTTCGAGTCCGCTCAGGGCCACTGAGGTGAATAATCGACTGTAAATTTCAGGGCCCTATGGTATTAGTCGAGTTGTGCGTAAGCTGGTCTGAACACCCACGATCAATAAAAAAAAAAAGAAAAAAAAAGGGTTTCATTTCTTGAAGAAGATATATGGTTTAGAAGTTGTTTGTTTAAGATTATCACATGATACATGATGAACAATTTCGTTTTTTTCCTTTTGTTTTCTATGCTAGAAAGATATTGGTGAAAAGATTATTAAATGAGTTTATGTATTAATCTATCTCTAAAGCAACTTTAATTAATTTATTCTCATTAGCTTAATGTCCTTTTTTTCCTTCTTTTTTTTGAAATTTCGATTTTTTTTATGTCTAAAGGTGGGACATCAAATTGCAAGTTGACATGAAATATATATCCCAAGATAAAAAAAAAGTTTACTGGTCTGGAATATTTTATACAAATTTTGTCTTGATCATAACATCGTCGTCAAACATTCTTGTCGTGTCACACTATCTAATTATTGCACCATTTAGACAAATGTGGATTCTGAGCAGTATTTGACACCTATAAATATTTTACTTAACAACAATATTAATGCAATTGTGTTGAAAAATTTTCTTTTCTCGTGACATAAAATGATATAAAAAAATTATTCAACTTTGCTAATGAATTTTCTAGTTAAAGATTTTCGAACTCCAAATGTTACACACTTGACCAAAGCTCTCTTAATACGTCTAGCTCCAGCTTCAATCAATATTTGACTCTACTTGACTCGTCTAATTTGATCTCTTGCATGTGAGACAAACATATGTATCCATTACGTATTTTAAGGACTTCTATATGATTTTGATATAAATTGCACGTGGGGACAAAAACATCATTATAATACTTACCATAATGTTAGGAAAAATTTCCCTAGTTCTAATTACCAAATCATTTTCTAAGCTATAATTTGATGATGCAGATACTTTGTAGCAGCACTCTCAGTTGCAGGCTTGTACGGCATAATAACCACTCTCCTTTCCTTCTATGCCCTCCTCAAGCCCGGTTGTTGTCCAACAGTCTTGTCTCATTTCGTCATTTTCGACGTGGTAAATTCGACTAGTAGAAAATTTTAATTTTTCTGATGTTATACTCAGGTCGGATTTTAAAAAAAATATAATCTAGAATTCTCTCAATACGTTTAGAGATGTTTGATATCCAGTACTAAATGTGACAAGTGTGTATTGTATATATTTATTTTGCAGCTATTGCTAGGAATTGTGGCAGCTGCAACTGGAGCCGCAGGTGGAGTCGCTTATATAGGTTTGAAAGGCAATTCTCATGTTGGCTGGAAAAAAGTGTGTAATGTGTACGACGAATTCTGCAGGCATCTCGGAGCTTCAATTGCCGTCTCTTTGTTTGGCTCCATCGTGCTTGTGTTGCTCGTTCTGCTCTCTGTCTACTCCCTCTCTAAGAAAATTCCCAAGTAAAGGGTTAAAGCAACATGAATCGAAGCCATTATGGTATGTTCACTGGGTTAACTAGACACTATAAAACAAAATCGAAGAAAAAATTAAGTTGTAATGTGCAGTGTTATTTAGTACTGTGTACCAAATATACTATGTCAAGTGGGGTATCGGTGTCGTATTGTGTGTGCATATGTAGAAGTGTGTATTCCTGCAGTCAGTTTTTTACTTGGTCCATCCTGCTTCTATTTTGTTAATATGTTGATGTATCATTTGCTTGATTGAACCGAGCTTCAATCAAAACCAGTGCAAGACTTTGCGTGTGGGTGGGAGATATACATGAAAACGACTCACAAATTCTAAAAATTAGGCAAGCAATACTCGTTGATATTCATTTTAACATCGATCTGATAGAAATCTATATGTTCTACATGGAAATACAAGTCTATCTAGGTCTTAGATTTATAGCGAAAAGGAAGAAGAAAACTGTTAGAGATCTTTAGGTCAGTTATCTTTCAAGATCGCAACTAGAAGCTGTTATTTGAGAAACAATCACATCAAGGCAAGAAGATGACAGTTGGCTAAGAATGATTTCCGGTGTAAATTACAACACCTTAGTGCAAACACCATGGAAGATGCCATAAAGGGCTGAAAAAGGTGGACTAGGGAACTGTAAAACATATACGTGCTTGCAAAACACGACTAGAAGTTCTTGGATGGTTGATGTTCGAAGTCTGGAAAAGGTAGAAGCCTTGGCCTGATTTCTACATGAAACTTTTCTTGTCAACTGAATCTAAAGTCCAACCTACTCAGAGTTACATAAAAAAAAATTGAAGGAACCATCCAACCATAGATCCAATTCAACACTATATCGCTCAAGAAACATAGAATTATGTTCGAATATCAGTGACATGATCAAAAATATTAATAACCCAACGGCCATTATTTGCTGCTACATTAAAATGGTAAGATTACGTCGATAAGCAATTTCCACCTCTATGTTAAAAGTTCATACTGCAGGAAGAAAGAACGGCAAAAATTATTATTAAGTTAATCTGCATTTCAGAACATAGACATATCTTCAGATTCTTATATTTCCGTACAAATCATACTTCTGCAATCCATCCTACGCCAAGCAGAAAATGAGGAATCGTGTACCTTTACGTATTCTCAGTATAAATCCATGGCTGATTGAGTTAGGAATTCTTGGGAAAAAAAAAATTTCAATCAACGGTAAATTAAGAAAATTGATTGCTCCCCTAACTCCCGACCATCCATTCCTTCCTTAAGTACTGTATTAAACAACTCTTCCAGTGTGTCCTTCCCATAACTTGGAGTTCTCTCAGCATCATATTCACCGGTATCTTGATCCCGAACCAGCATACTCTCGGCTGCATAGTACCTTCCAATCTTCCCAAACTCAGCTGCATCTTCCAGTGAAGGAATAATTTTCACAAGGAAATCAAGAACTACAGTAGCAAAGTCCATTATTTGGATAGGTACTTTGAGGAACTTAGGTTCTTTCCAAGTTTAAACATCATTTCACCTTGCTCCTGTGGCGTCAATGCAGCCCCCGGTTCTCCAATTGGCAAAATCTGATTAATCCTATCTTTATTCAACACACAATCTGCAATAAACGATGCCAAGTCTGCCTCACTTATTGGCTTGCAAGCACACAACTTACCATCTCCAAACATCACGTAAGGTTTTCCGCCTGTCACCAGCTCAACCTGACCAGCTAATATGAAAAAAATGACTGATCATGTTAAGTAACGCCAAAAAAATTAATTTTTTTGACTTGAAAAATCAAAATCAAACGAGGGTCCAATATCCTCCTTGTGGAACCCTTTACGATGTGCGGACGGGATCTTTAGAACGGTGACATAACGCACCTGTTGCAAAATACGGATAATGGGTCGCCCATGTGGGGTGACCCGACCCGCAGGATCTTATAAGGGTTGGAGGTAGTGGTTTGAATTTAGAATTCAAACCCATAACTCACAAGTAACCACTTGAAACTTCCATATAGAAGTTATGGAAAAGAGGGGGAAAATGTAAAACATGAGAAAAATGGTAAAAAAAAATTTGTATGGAAATTCACCTCAAAATTGAAAAGTCCCTAAAATCACATTTTTGACATGAAATCTCACAAAAAACGACACTTAAATTGTGGACAATAATCCCCTTCCATTGTGATTGCGATTAGGATCATTGGAGTACAAGAAATTACAAATTTTGGAGATTTGAAAGTAAGGTGATTCAACCACACAAAGATCTTGAAATTCATCATTTCAAGTAAGTTTGTTGACCCGAAATTCATGTCAAAGCATGCTACGATTTTTCTACATTGGTATCAGAGCCATAAGGTTGAATTTCTTGCTGTAATTCATGCTTAATTATTTCATTACATGATAGCATTGGGTTATGAATCTTGTATGCAAAGTTTTGAAACCTTACGTTGTATTTAGTGATATCATTTGATAATTTACTGCCATTTGTTCTTTCATCTTCATGAAGTAAGATTAGTATGGTTAGAAAGGTCTTCTCATAAGCTTTCCAACCATATAAAGAACTCAAATTTTGGACTTAAAACGAAGAAGTTATGAGTTTTTGAAATTTGAATGATAATCTGAATTTTAAGCGTAAAACTCGATAAAATCCTGAAATTCATCATGTGATAACTTTTTATACATTAAGTATCATGCTGTCCATTTGGTATGGTTGGATAGTTCTTCTTGAGATATTTCCAACTTAAAGATGAACAATATTTTTTTCCCATTTTTTAGTCTCAATCGGACTGTTTGAGTCCAGAACACAATCTTAGATGTTGATATTATGAAATCTGGCCACAGAGATGAACTCAGAACGTTAAAATTGATTATAGGGACGAATTAACAAAATTTTTTCATTGGATAAGCTCCGCGGATTGGCGTGTAGTAGGTGTTCAATGCCCTTTTTTTCATTAAAAAAAGGGTTAAAAGTTGGAATGTCAAATAAAATTACCGTTTGACTTTTTCAAATGAATTTTAGAAAATTGCAAATTGGTTCCTCAAATATTCTTGATTTTTATGTGCAATTAAAATTAATTTTCAGATAATCAAAATTTTTTTTTTTTTGGACTCGATTAAATTCTAAATTTTTTTATAAATCGAGAATATTTGTTAAGCAGTATTTGCCAAGTGGGAGTTATTTTTTTGAAGTGTTTCATTTTTAAATGAAAAATATTTCGAAAATATTTAAAATACCGCATTATATATACGTTCACGAGTTGTGTGGATCTTAATTAGGTTATGTGATCCATTGTGACTTATTTTTCAATTTTTTGTGCTTGATCAAATATGGCTAGATTTGTGCACATTTATAGCATCCTTAGAAAGAATGCTAGAAAACCAAAGGCTATGAAACTTGTTGAAATATTCTATGCTTATCGATATAAATGAATGGATCTGGAAATGACCTATTGTTAGGGATGTAAACGAGCCGAGCCAAGCCGGCTCGCAAGCCTAAAGTTTCGGCTCGGGCTCGGCCAGGTTAAAATGGGCGAGCTTTTTTGCGGGCTCTTTGCTCGGCCAAAAAAAATAGGCTAGCTCGGGCTTTTTACGGGCCGAGCTGGGCATGCTCGTTTTCTCTACTTTTTTTTTTTTTTTTTATTAATCTTCTAATCTGTTGCCTTTTAAAGGCAGTAAGGCAGCAGTTTTGCTGCCTTTTAAGCCTTCAATTTAATTTTAATTTTTTTTTATTAAAAAGCTCATGAGCTCACGGGCCGGCTCGGGCAAAGCCCGTGTCCCCAAAATGGGGCTCGACCCGAGCCTAGGCTCGGGTCTACCGAGTCCCGAGCCGAGCCACGGGCGGCTCGAGACGGCGAGCCCGATTGCCAACCCTACCTATTGTGGAACATGTAAATATTTTGGGATATAAGTTTTTGATGACAAGCAGAATATAATAATTCTAATGTCACTTCCCAGTTATTAGGACTGTGTTGCAAACGAGATTTAGGTGGAATTGATAATTTGTAAAATAAAACTTAAACGATGTTAGTTTTATTTTTGAAATATAATTGAAGTTATCTTCCGAAAGAATTAATTTGTTATATCATGATGCATGCCATGATTGGATAAATGTGCATATTTATGTTTTTATTGCATATTATGAAATTATCTAATTGAATACATCATGTATTGTTATAAATGCTAAGGTAGTAGAATTAGTGAGATTCTTATTTAGACCTATTGATTGTCAGTTGTGTGATAGTTCGGTGATTGGAAGATTTAGAAAAAATCTCACCAAGAACTATTTGATTCATCAACTGAGTGGGAGTTCTGAAATTAGAAGAATTAATGTGATTCTCACTTAGAACCCATGGAATTTCGCATTATTAAATTAAGTTTATGATAGTAAAACGATAGGATTGCGGACGATGATTGAGAACATAGTGAATTTTCGACTCTGTGCCTAACGTTGAACTATCGTAAATGTTAATTTGCGTTAATGCAAAATTTAAATATGTGCATAAATGGGCATTGATTAAGAATAACATGTCTCTAAAAATCTGATAGATGATGGCATCAAAATCTATAGAAGTTAACCTTAATAAATGTGATAAACTAAATGCGATAACATTTGGTATGATAAAATTTTAAATGTACTAGAAGGACATGATACTTTAGAGAATATCAATCACATAATAGAAGATCTTATGTAGGTAATACTACTCTAAAGTATAAAGATCAGAACTTTGTCGAGTATAGAAAAAATGTGGATTTTATTACTCGAGCATTTAAAATTGTTAAGTTCTGTTATAAATAATCTTTTTCTCAGATGTGACGTGGTGGTTAACATAGTATTAACATTTTCTTTGGTCACATTAATTTTAGATGAGTAGTAAGTTCAAATTAGTCTCTTCTTAATATATGAAATTTTGAAAGTAATTGTGACTTACAAATAGAAGTGTCAATTTCTTTTTATTGACACTACCCGCTATGTGAATTAAAAGACGTGTGACTTGATGTTGCTAAATCTCGAGGACATGCTTGCGTAGCAATTTCTAGCTTATATAAGACTTTGAATCTTAAGCATTGAATGAGTTAGAACAAATGCGGGATGGATGTGGGAGACTGGTAAAGGGACCAAGAAGAACTTCAGATATTAAGTGAATGAAAGTGGTTTTGGTAGAGGATCAATGTTATAAAAGGTTCAAGTGCTTCAACTATATGGTTTGAATCTCTTAGCTCGAAAGTGGTTAAGTTAAAGGATATTGTACTTTAATATATTCCTCTTAGTGTTGTTTACGTATCAACACTATACAA